AACAGGAATCCCCTCTCTGCTACATCCAACAGGTTACCATCCTCCCTCTGCTTGAACACCCGCCCCTTCTTCAAGAGGCCAATTCTATTTAGAGCACTGTCAAGCCTAAATTTGCACCTTCTCCCCATTGCTCCTGGTTTTATCCTCTAAGACCAGACAAAACTAGGAGAAATTGCTCTTCCTTCTGACTATCCTTCAGATACCTGAAGACAGTTATCATGCCCCACCCTCAACCTTCTCTTCCTCATGCTACACTTCCCTGGTTTCTCTTTTCTTTTCTTTCTTTTTTTTTTTTTTTTTGCTAAGCAATGGGGTTAAGTGACTTGCCCAGGGTCACACAGCTAGTAAGTGTTATGTGTCTGAGGCCAGATTTGAACTCAGGTCCTCCTGAATTCAGGGCCGGTGCCTCTATCCACTGCACCCCCCTGGTTTCTTCAACCGACTTTCATATGACACAGAATTTGCCATTCCTGGTTGACCTCTCTGGATGCCCTCTAGCTCAGCAATGTCCTTCTTAAAATGGGCCACCTAGAGGTGAACACAATATTCCAGACTCAGTTTGATTATTAGCTCCTTTTTACTAAGATCTGTGTCTGTTTTTATGCAATCCAAGATCCACATTAGCTTTTTGGGCTGCCATATCACAGTGCTGGGTTCCATCCCACTTACAGTCCACTAAGACCCTATGATCTTTTTTCAGACAAACTGTTTATCATGGTTCTCCCACCTTGAACTTAGGAAGCTGAGTTTTGAAGAGTAGTATTTTTGGGGGGAATATATTTTTGTTGGTATCTTTTCTTCTCCTTTCTTCTTCCCCCTCCCAGAGAGTCATCCCATATAACAATAGTATTTTTTAAGGAAGAAAAAAAAAGAAAAAAGGAAGATACTACCCCAAATCAACAAAATTGATCAATACATTGAAAAAGCCTGAAAATATTCCTCACCTCCCCCTCTGCAAAAGAGTGGGATGGACACATCTTTTCATATCTTGAGGAGTGTCATTAAAGGCCTCATGTCATCTTAGAAGGATGTCTCTAATGGAATGTTTCAGGATTTGTCCTTGTGTTATTCAGCTTTTTGATTGTGTGTGTGTGTGTGTGTGTGTGTGTGTGTGTGTGTGTGTGTGTGATTTGGATGAAGGTAAAGATCTATATTTATCAAATTTACAGATGTACAACACTTGGAGGTATAGTCTATACCCTGGATGACAGAGTTAGGATTGATAAAAGGTCTCAAACAAGTTTAAATGTTGAGCTAGATCTAATAAGATGAAAATTTTAGGGATGAATGGAAGGTTTTGCTCTGGGTTTAAAAAAATAGACTCCACATGTATAAGACTGGGAACTGGCACTGGACAGCCTTTCCTCTGAAAAAAGATCTGGGGGTCTCAGTGGACTGCAAGCTTAATATAAGTGAACAGTATAGTATGGCATTAAAAAAAAGAAAACCTTCTGATCCTTGGCTGCATGAAGAGAAGCATGGTGCCCAAGACGAAGCCGGTCTGAAAATCTTGCTGTACGCTGGCATACTCAGACCACATCTGGAGTGCTGGGTTCAGTTCTGGGTGTCACATTTAAGGAGGATCTTCATAAGCTGGAGAACATCTTGAGAAGGGTGACCAGATGCTGAAAATATTTGAGATCATGCTTTATGAAGATCGTTTGAAGCAACTAGGATGTTTAATCTGGAGATGAGAGGACTGGCTGGGGAGTGATAATTATCTTTAAGGATCTGAAGGTCTGGCATAGGGAAGAGGAAATGGACTTGTTCTGCTTGGCCTCAGAGGGCACTGCTAGGAGCAATGGTTGGAAAGAAGAAAAAAAAAACCAAAGTACTTATTAAGCAACTACTATATGCCAGGCACTGTGCTAAGTGCTTTACAAATATTATTTCATTTATCTTCTCAACAAGCCTGGGAGGAAGGTGTTATATTTATCCCCATTTTATAATTGAGGAAACTGAGCGAACAGCTTAAATGACTTGCTTAAGGTCACACAGCTAGTAAATATCTGAGGCTAGATTTGAACTCTGGTCTTCTTGACTCCAGGCCCAGGGCTCTATCCACTGCATAGTGCACATTCTGCCATCTCCCCCACCCCCTTCACTGCATATCTCCCCCAGCTGCCTCAGTGGGAAAGTTGAAGAGGAGTAGATTTACATTCTATGTAAGGGGAAAATTCCCAAGAGACAATGGATCCTCATAGTAGGATGGATTGGGCTGCTCTGTTGTAGTGGGTAAAGACATGTTTATTAGGATCTCTGAGAGAAAGCTGAGTTGAGCATACTCAGCACTGTGGAGTTGAGTGTGGTTTGAGTTTCATTCCATCTCCAAGATCCTGATATAGATAATTCTAAATCACTTTCTAGCTTTATGACCTTGGGCAAGTCATGTTATCCATTATGTCACCTGTTTGTTGAGAATGGTAATAATAAGAATAAGAATAAGAAAATAAGAGGATGAAGAAGAAGAAAGAAAGAAGAAGAAGAAGAAGAAGAGGAGGAGGAGGAGGAGGAGGAAGAAGAGGAGGAGGAAGAAGAAGAAGAGGAAGAAAGAAGAAGAAGAAGAAGAAGAAGAAGAAGAAGAAGAAGAAGAAGAAGAAGAAGACGATGACGATGACGACACTGGGGTAGTCGATAGAGAGCTGGCTTCAGAATTAGGAAGACCTGAGTTTAAATTTGGCCTCTGATACATCCTGGCTATGTGACCCTGTTCAAATCATTTAACCTCTCAATGCCCCTACTCAGGCAATTGTCTAAGATTAAAAATGGCAGAACATTCGCTGATTTGCATTGGTAAAGAGAGTTTGCTCACTTGGTAGCTCCCTACGTTGATGAAGTCACAGGTCTAGATTTTTTAAAATAAAATTAACATCTAAGACTCATGTCCAAAAAGGAACTGATTATCTTTCCCTTTAACCAGTCAACAAGCATTATTCAATCAATCCTAACCCACTCTCTTCCAAAATTCTCTATTTCTGTCGACGGCACCATCCCGATCAAAATGGGGAGTGAGGGAGAGGCAAGCGTCAAGGATGAATCTGATGTTGGGAACCTGAAAGACTGGGATTGAAAGAATGGTGTCCAAGCTTAGAGTCACCCTTCACTCCCCATTTTCAATCAATTGCTAAGTCCTGTTGATTCTGCTTCAACAATATCTCTCCCTTCCCTCCCCTTCTCTCCACTTCACCACTACCTTGATTCAAGACCCGATCACCTTTTCCTAGGACTATGACAATACCCTCCTGATTGGCTTCCCTTCTCCCTCTCTAATGGTATCTGTTCAGCTGGCAAAGTGATTATCCTAAAGCACTTGTCTGACCATGCTACTCCTCTACTTAAAAGTTTTCAGTGGCTCCCTATTGTCTCTAGGATAAAAAAAGGCAAATTCTTCCACCTTACATTTTAGAAGCCTTCCACAATCTGGCTTCTATCTACTTTTCCACACATTTCACATTAACCCCTCCATCCCACCCACCCTTTTCACATACTCTGTCAATAGAGAGTTGGACCTGGATTTAGGAAGACCTGAGTTTAAATCCAGCCTCAGACATTTACTAGCTGTGTGACTCTGGGCAAGTCTTTTAATCTCTGTTTTAATCTTCAGTTTCCTCTGTAAAAATAGAGATAATAATAGAACTTACATCTCAAAGTTGTTGTGAGGGTCAAATAAAATGACATGTAAAAGTGTTATTTAAATCTTAAAATGCTACATAAATATTATTATTTTTATTACTGTTTCCTGAACTCCATCTGCTATCGAGAACCTTCTATAACTGCACAATCAATGCTCACTGCCCAGAAGTTGGTCTCTGTCTCTGTCTCTGTGTCTATGTCTGTCTGTCTCTTTCTCTTACCTTTTATCTTAGAATCCTTGACTCCTTTCAAAGTTCAGCTAAAGGGCTACCTCCTACTTGTAAAGTCCTTCCTAATCCCTTCCCCTAATTATTAGTGTTTTCTCACCCCCTCAAATTACCTTACATTTACTTATCTGTTTGAAAAATGAAGAATGGAATGTACATTGCATAAGGGCAGAGAGGTTTTGTGTTTTGTCTTTGTATTCCTCTGTCCTAACACAGTGACAGTGTCTTATACTAGTACTATACTTTAGAAATATTTATTTAATTGAACTTAAATGGCTTTGAGATTCACAGAATACTTTTCATCCGGTAGTCAGCTGATCCTTGAAACAACCCTGTCAAAAAGAGCTTTAGAGGTATTAATCATTCTTCCCATTTATGCATGGGAGAATTGAGATTTAGGGAGATTAAGGGGCTTCTTTATAGTCACAAAACTGGCAAATGTTGGAGTCAGAATTCAAACCCAGGTCTTTCTAGACTCCAAGCCCAGCATTTTTTCCACTGGTCTAAGCTGCCTAACTAATATTTGGCTGCTTCCCTTGTGGGACTGCTGTGAAGAGAGCAGGTTATAATTCTTAAAGAATAGGAGAATTATTGGAACTGCTGAGTGGAAGGAGTAAATTTGGGTTCTCTCTCCACCAATTAGAGAGTGTCAGCCTCAGCCCTGAGACCAGGCAAATGTCTCAGATTGGGGTTGGGGGGGAGAGACAGGAGGTATAATTTACTGAGGGGGGCAGGACTTTGTGGGGAGAGGAGAAGGTAGCTTGAGGGGGGATTCCAGAAACTGACCCTGCATGATATCACCAGGACAGAGGAAAGAACCTCTCCCGCTGCAGCCCAATCCTACCCTAGGCTATTGGGTAAATATCCTCTGGGCATCCTGGTAAGTGGAGATTTGGTGTTGAGGGGAGTTCAAATCCTCCTTTCTTCCGTCTACTAGCTGAGCTGCGTTGGACAAATTTTTCTGCCTCAATTTCTTCATCTCTAAAAAGGGGAGGTTGGGCTTGGTGATTTCTGGGGTCCCCTTCCAGCTCTAAGTCGTACGATCAAACTTGTCATTTTCTCCCCATGTTCACTGCTGTGTTTTTCTCCTTTCCCAGGAAGCCAAGATGGCTTACAACACCTTCAGCGGGGCACCCCCGCTTCCTCACCCGACCCAAGGCTTTCCTGGTGTCAGTGGGCAAAGATGCCACCCTGAGCTGCCAGATTGTGGGCAACCCTGTACCGATGGTCAGCTGGGAGAAAGATCAGGTGCCGGTGGCCCCCGGCGGGCGCTTCCGTATGGCCGAGGAGGGTGACTTGTACCGCCTGACCATCGTGGATCTTACCCTGGAGGACAGCGGCCAGTATATGTGCCGAGCCCGCAACTCCATCGGAGAGGCCTTTGCGGCAGTCAGTCTGCAGGTAGGCGAGGACACCATGCGAGCTGAGCTGGCTCCCTACTTCCTTCTGCGGCCGACATCGATCCGGGTGAGCGTGGGAGAGGATGCCACCTTCCGCTGCAGGGTGCAGGGCAGCCCCCCGATGTCTGTCAGCTGGACGAAAGATGGCCGGAGGCTGGGCGAGCCATCGTCCCCCGATTTCCACCGAGTGCAGGTTGAGGCCAAGGGTGAAGATAGCTCCCTGCGGATCCGGGGTGCCCGTCCCCGAGATGGAGGCACCTACACCGTCTTTGCGGAGAACCCGATTGGGTCTACCAGTGCCGCTGCTGCCCTTGTGGTAGACGAGAAGGCCCTGCTGGGTCCCAGGGCTGTTGATGCCTCCTCTGGGACAACTGCCCTGCTGAACCACCTGCAGAAACGGAGGGAGGAGATACGGTCGGAAGGCACCGGTTGGAGCTCTAGTCTGGGGCGCTGGACTAGTGGGGGCACACGCACGTGCACTGTGACTGAGGGCAAGCATGCTCGCCTGAGCTGCTACGTGACTGGGGAGCCCAAGCCTGAGACTATATGGAAAAAGGACGGAGAGGTGGTGGTGGAGGGCCGGCGGCACATGATATACGAGGATGAGCAGGAGAACTTCGTTCTTAAGATCCTCTTCTGCAAACAGACGGACAATGGACTCTACACGTGCACAGCCTCCAACCTGGTGGGGCAGACCTATAGCTCTGTGCTGGTGGTGGTGAGAGGTGAGTGAGCAGGCTTTCTAAATCCCCTTTGGGACAGCCTGGAAAGGAGTCCTGGGCTGGGAGTCACGAAGCCTAGAGTTAAGAATCAGCTCTGGAACTTAGGTCCCTTCTTTCATCCACCTCAGTTAATAATACTTATAATTTCTCTGTCACAGAGTTGGTGTGAGGAAAGTGCTTGGTAGGCAAAGCCCCAGAGAAATGGGAATAATTGTAATTTTTATGCTCCTGTCCCTCCCTCTTTGCCCTTGAGGCCAAATCCCATCCTCTGATTCTCCTCATCCTCCCCCGTCCCCCTACACCTAAATCTGTCCCTCTCCCTAGGGAGAAAGAATTGATTCTTTTAATTTTTTTAAAATTTATTTATTTTGAATTTTCAACAATCACTTCCATAAGCTTTTGAGTTTTACATTTTTCTCCCCCTCCCTCCCCAAGACAGCATGCAATCTGATACAGGCTGTACATATACATTCCTATTAAACATATTTTCGCATTAGTGATGTTGTAAGGAAGAATTAGAAACAATAGGAGGAACCACCAGAAAGAGAAAACAGAAGAATTGATTCTTTAGCATCCCTTCTCGGTCTTAAGAATTTAGAACCGGTGGGCTTCATTTCTCTCCATCTTGGCCCCACCCAAGAAGTTCTCATACCCTAATTGAGTTAAAAAGACAGCATGGCACGGTGGGGAAAGCTGCTGGTCTGGAAGCCAGGAAGGCTGGCATTCACTCCTGGTGCCTACAATGGCTAACCATGTGACCCTGGGCCAATTACCTCACCTTGGATTCCTTCTCTCTGAAATAAGGGCAATCATATTTACACCAAATACCTCACAGGCTCATTATGCAGAAAAAGTGGTTTATAAATCTCAAAGAAATGCAAGTTATCATTATTTTTTTTTAGCCCTGTGGGTCACATATCCTGACCAAATATGGGAGACAATGTTGGGGTGACAGTGTCCACCACTTCAGATTGAGGAATCAGGCTTCCCCTCTATGGATCACATTGTCTGGGGATTATGAGTCACCCTGGTGACAAGGGAATTATTACCATTCCTCAGGCTGGGATGGGTATCAGGAATGGAGAGGATGAGCTGTGAGTTATTATTAGGTAGGGAATAGGTTCTCTCAGCCTCATATAGAACATAGAATGTCAGAACTGAGAAGGATCTCAGAACATAGGATAGCAGACCTTAGGACATAGGAGGTCAGAGTCAGGAAGAGCTTTAGAATGGAGAACATAGAATGTCTGACCTGGAAGGGACCTGAGAACACAGAAAGTCAGAGGGCAGGGAGGGATCTTAGAATGTAGAACATAAAATGCCAAATATGGAAGGAGGCCTTAGAATATTTAGGGGAACACAAGGCACAGAATGTCTGAGCCCTTCATCCCTCCTGGATCCTGTGGCCCTTTTACTGGGTTCAGCCTTCTTTTCCTAGAATAGTGCTATAGGTCTTTTTACCATAAACTCTTCCCATTTAACCAAATGTCTGTATAGTTTTCCAGCCTTAGTTTCTCTTACTGTCAGTCTGTAAGAGAAGGCAGAATGGTAATAGAGAAAGAAAGAGGAATGTGGTGGTCAGAGCCCTAGACAGGGAGGTTCCAGCCCTGGCTGTATCCCTGGTTCTTTCATGGGAAAGTCACTCCCTTTCACTGAGGCTCAGTTTTCTCCATCTGCCAAATGGGGAATATTCCTTTCCGCCTTGCCTACTTTTTAGTAGTTCGGTGAAAAGCATGGCTGAAATAGGGTTTTGGAAAGAGTGTGGAGGGTGCATTAAGAAGAGAAAGAAATGTTCTTCCTGGGCAGGGATGGTGTCTGAGGCCAGCCTCTGGGGACCAGGATGATCCTAATTCCCTTCCACAGGCCTCCAACCAAACCTTGACCACAAGGAGCCATCAAAGTCCATAATCTTACCTCTAGTCTACATCATCCCCTATTCTCCCCTAATACTGACCCTTCAGTAGCTCGTTTGTCTCGGGGAGGGGGAAGTAAGGGTGAGGACAAATAATGAGCCCTGGAAGGCCAGGCAGCTCCTGAGGCCAGGGAACTCCTATACGTCACACAGGGAGGAGATACAGAGAATAACAACATTGAAAACACAGTTAAATAATTCTTTCCCCACAAATTGTCCTGTGAAGTATTTTTTTTTTCATTTTACAGATGAGGAAACAGAGGTTCAGAGTGAATTTTTTTAAATGTCAGAGCTGGAATTAGAGCTCAGGCTTCTGGATGTCAAGACTCCTATTCCCAACTCAACTTCTTTCTCTGTTCTTCTGTGTGTCTCTGTTTCTCTCTCACCCTCTATCCCTCTCTCTCCCTTTCTGTTCCTTTCTCTTCCTCCCTTAGAACATAAAATGTCAGAGCTGATGGGGGCTTGGAGATCACCAATTGTAAGCCCTTTATTTTATGAGATGAAGGCTTCCTGGAGGAAGAGTTTTGAACTGGGTCTTAAAGGAATGAGGACCTGGATTTTAGCGGGCTTAGTATGCCAGGCTGAGGGGTTTGGTTTTAACTTGTGGGCTGATGGGGGAGGGGCTTTTTGGCTTATAGGGGATCAGCTGTTTTCCAGGCTTAGGCAGGGCAGTATGAGAAGAGGCTGGGGCCCCAGCTGCATGGGAAGGGATTTAGGTGACAAGCCTCAGCCCAGGCTGAAGTGGTGGGATGGGCCATTGGGAGAGATGGTGAAACTTTCCTTTTCTGGCTGTCTTTCTGACAAAGGTCTGTGGGCATCCAGTGTCCTGGGCAACAGTGGGCAAAATGACAGGGGGAGGGAGGGGCAGCTTTGGGAGGTGGTGTCCTGGGAGCAGCACCTGCTTCGGGGACAGCTGAGCTCACATGTCAGGGGTGGGGGTGGATTTGTATCTGGAAGAAGGAAAGAGGGATGGGGAGGAGGAATTGGGATGGGCAGGGCCATCTCTTAGACTGGAAGGCCCAACCCTGGGCCCAAACGTTTAGGGGCTCAGGCCATTGCTTCCACCCCCCTCCAGGAAAGGGCCTACAAAGCAGAGCCTCTTCCAACCTCATCTTCATTCAGAATGTTCTCAAGGATGTGGCTCATTACCCTGGTTGGCTTGGGACATGGTCACTCATGAGAAAAATGCATTTAGCTGTTGTGAAACTATTAAACTTGGTCTAGGGGCCAGAAGATTTGGGTTCTACTTCTGGTTCTGCTATGTGACCTTTTTGGGGAAATCACTGCAACTTTCTGGGTCTCAGATCTCAAAATATCATGTTGGACTAGATCTGGACTTTTTAAACTCTTCTATGTCCCAACCGATTTGGGTGTCAGGGAAAGCTTATTGGCCCCTTCTCAGAATCATGTGTTAAAGTAATTAAATGAAATGCTAAATTTCAGTTAGAGGCTAGTGAAAATAAAGGTGTAATTTTTTTCCTCATCCAAGTTTACAGACCCCTTGGGGGACAGGGGTGGTCTATGGTTAGATTATCTCTCCTGTCCCTTCTAGCTCTAACATTCTGTGCTCTAGGTTCTGAGGTTCTTCTTCAAGTCTGAAAGTCTGTGATCTAAAGCTCTGATTATCATGTTCTATGCTCTAACGTCCCTTCTGGGACTGGTGTCTTAAGCACCCTCCAAGCTCTGAGAGTGTAGGTCCTAAGTACTTCCAGAGCTAACATACTGTAATTCTCTATGCAATTTTTTGTAGAATTTTTTATAGCTAAGTGAAGCTGGTAAAGGTGATGGGTGAGTCACTCCTTTCAACAGACTCTTCCACAGGGCCATTAGTCTATATATGGCAGCCTGAGAATCCGGCCATTTTGGGGAAATTCCCACTAGGGGCTGGTCAGAAATCTGTGGTTACTTTTGTTAGGACCCAAATGCAGCCTGAGGTAGTATTGGATTCAAGCCTCCTGCCTTGGGTCTCAAGCCTTGATGAAATGTTTGTTTCCTTTCTGGGACACCAGCTTCTCTTCTTGGAATCAGTCCAGGGGCCCTGGGTATTCCAATCCAGGGCTCTTTTCACTACTTACTAAATAAACTGTCTGTGATTTCTGACCCCTATAGGGGTTCAAGACTCCAGGATCTCCAGACCTTTCTGGGTCCCTGAGCTAATTTGGCATCCTGGTTTTAGAGACCTCCTGCCCCTGATTCCCACTCATTGGTCCCATTCTCTGCCATTGCTACTACCACCATCTCTGGGTAATCTGGTGTGGTCTCCACTTACCTTTTTTTCTTCCACTCTGAGTCTGCATACTCCAGAGTGTGAGAGGGTGTTTTCTAGGGCTTTATTCATAAGGGGCCAGAGAGCATAATAATACACAAGGGGAAGGCCATTAGACGTGCTTGCATGAGAAGCCATCCAAGTCATAGATTAGCACTCAACTTTCAAAACTCCTAGAGGCAACATCATATAGAATGCTGGATTTGGAATCAGGGGGATCTGGGTTCAAATCCCTTCTCAGAAACTTACTGACCCTGGGAGATTCACTTAAGCTTTCTGAGATTCAGGTCCCTCATTCCCCAAATGGGGATAATGCTAGCACCCACCTCTCAGGGGTGTTGTGAGATAACCTCTGTCAGGTGCTTTTCCAACCCTATGTAAATGTGAGCTATTTTTATAAAATGAGGCTAAGGGCCCAAGATTTGATTTCCCCTTCTCTTGGCCTGGAAGCTTCCTTATAACACTGAATAAAAACATTTTTCTTTTCAGAATACCCCCAAGCTAAATTTTGGATTCACCCCACCCTGTCTTGAGTTCATTGATCCATTCTCCCAACCCCAGGCTCATTCTCAGCCAATCCCAAGGCCTCCTGACTGGTTGGCAGCCTTGTGGGGTTCCATTCATACCAGTGCTGATCCCTTGGCAACTTAGAAACAGAAGATTTTGGGCTGGGAGGGGCCTCAAAGATCATCCAATCCAATCCTTTAATTTTCAGCTGACTGGAGATCTAATTTCACCTCCCCCTCCAGCAAGAGATAAACAAAGAAATACAAGCAAGTACATAGAACAGTTCAGGACACCTCAAAATCAGTGATCTAAGCTGAT